TTCAAATTTGTTTCTTAAACACATTTTCTAGTTGATATGCATATACTTAAATCTACAAACTATCCTAAAATATAAATTTCAGGAATCACTGTCACTGAACTTGGTTGATAAAACATCACCATGAAGTCTAGAGTTGCATTTTTGTTTGGTTAATTTTATTCCTAGATACTCTGCCTTTTAGGTGTGTATAAAACTAGTCATGTGTAGATGATATTGATACAATAGCTCTGTGAAAATGCTTGGGAAAGCTCACTGCTTCTCTTTCTCCTCACCCCCACAAACCTAAGATAAGAGGACTTCCTCCTACAATCCCTTGATTTGACACTCATGTCAGAGACTGTACCCCATCCATGCGCCTTGGCATCATCTGATTTCCTGCTCCACTGCTGTTCTCCTTCAAAGCAGCCATCTTTGTGTGAGACTTGCCACCAACAAACTTGCCTTTCAATCCTACAACCACCTCTGCCTATTCTAGCTACTACCCTGGCCCTGTTCTTGCCCAGAGTTACTCCACTCTGTCCAGCTTCTCCATGCTCTTCCCTATCATGACCACATCTGTCCCCTTATGCCCTAAGAATCCCACTGCTCCATCTGTCCATTCCATTCCATTCTACTTTCTTCTGGGTGGACACCTTCTACCTCCCTTGTGTCTCCAAAGCCCTTGCTTGTCTTTCTTGTCCAGCAAAACCCAGCTCTGGATGAGCCTCACAATGCCTACCTCAACACTGATGAGAAACTGGAGAAAGCTCATGCCACTAAAGATACATACTCCTACAAGCCCAAGGTCCAGAACCTCTGCACTGTTCCGAAGCTTCTGAAATCCACTATTAATTTCCCTTCTCTTTCCCACAGCAGTTATCCTGAACCACTTCCTTACTCCAAATTTCCCATCCTGCTCCACCTACTCCCCCAGAGCAATCCTAAGCACATATCCTTGCATCCAGTATCAGAGAAGGCCATCTAATGTGATTCTCCTCAATTTCCTGAGCATGGACATCTCTAACTCCTCTCTCCCCTCCCACCTTACAGAAACCCTACCTCCCACTCTCTTGCTGAGTTCATTCCATCCTTCAATCCCTCACTCTCTTTTATTTCTAATTGTTCCCATACTGTGGTCTCCCCATCACTCTTTGAAACATCATAAACTCTCTCAACTCAAAACTAATTTGTTCCTCAGCCCTACATCCTTTCTGTATTTTTTTTCCTCCCATTCAAAACTTGCCCACTCCTAAAAAGTTAAATGATGGCAAGGAACACAGATGGGGTACAGAGTCCTATGACATGAGAGCCATTATCTCCCATTTCATTCATTCAAATTTCCATCCTAGTTATGCCAATGAGCCTACTCTTTCCAAGGCCACCAGTGACTTCTTTGTTGCCAGATTTAGTGGGAGGGGTAGGGGTTCAGACCATCTTTATTGATCTTACTGCACCTGGTCACCTTACTTCCTCCCTTTGGCTTCTGTGGCACACCATTCTTCTTCCTCTCTCTCTCTCTCTCTCTCTCTCTCTCTCTCTCTCTCTCGTCCTCCTTTCTTAAACCTTTTTCCTTGAGTAACCCCAGGCCTTTACTGTAGGTAACATTAGTTTTTCTTGGTTCTCTGATTCCTGTAGGTGAAGACGTGTTATCCCTGAACAGTGAGAACAAGGCCTGGAATATTAGCAAGCACAGAAACCAGGAAGAGTTCTGGGCCTTTACCTTTGCTTCTGGGCTCATCTTCCTCTGCTTGTTTCTTAAATTCACAAGGAATTTGGGTCTTCTCTTTGGCTCTCTCAAGAGAAGAATTTAATCCATTCCTATGGCTTTAAAAACGACCTATATGCTCATAAATTGATAATCTATCAGCTCTATCTCCACACCAGATCTCCCTCACAAGCTCAAAGTCACCTGGACAATTTATCTCCTCTTTCTGCCTAAACATATGCCTCCGCTTCTCTACACACTGTGCTAGATTCCTGCAGCAGCTTCTCAAGTAACATCCTGCCCTCATCTTCTTCTGGCCATTTTCCACACAGCTCCTAGACTTTTCAAAACGTACATCTTAGAAATCTTCATTATCTTCAGAATAAAGACTGACCCTCAGCCTACTAAATATTTTAAGATCCAGCTCTAGTCAAGTGCTCCAACCCAAGTGTCTAAGAGTCAGCATTTAGTTAAAACACCATAGGACTTCACTAAGATTTTTTTCCCCACTAATAAAAAGGAAACTAGCACAGTATTCTTTTGGAAACTTCCAGAGCTCTAGCTGTTAGGTATCCATAATTCCATTCCTTTAGGGTTCTAAACCCTAAAACTACCCCTAAAAATGAGAAACCAAATATATTGAGCATTTTTTTATGAGTCAGGCACATTAGCTCATCTAGATAATCCTCTCAATTCTGAAGTATCATCATTTTCATTTCTCAAATGAGAAAATTGAGATGCAGAGAATCAAAGATGAAATAACCTGGCCAGGTCACACAAGTACTAAAAGAGGGAATGGGGAGTCAAACCCAAATTGCCCTGGGCATCATCTTCCACTGTCTCTCCACAGTCAAACCAGTATCTGACAATATAAGATAGAAACCATGGAAATAAACAAAGATTTATCAAGGCGTAATACATGTGAAATACATTTCATAAGGCAACTTCCCTCACAAAATTTTCAAATACACAAACTCCAAATCCAAGAAGGTAGTTTTTATGAGCTCATACAGCTAGTAAGTTTGACTTTCCCCCATTTCTGCTCCTATTAGCATCTCCCTAACCCCAGTAAGCAGCATTTTGTAGCTGAAAAAAAACAGGTCCAGCCCAGGTCACACATCCAATCAGAGGCAAAATCAGGATTAGAAACTGGCTTCCTGGCTCTGCTTGTCTATAGAGGCAGATTCAATTTTAGTATCCGTAGGAGTGCTGGGAGAACCCAGGAACCTTAATTTTTTCCTATTTCTAACAATTTCCTGAGAACTAGCATTATTTTGGGAGGTCAGTGCTGGGAATTAGACACAGGGCCTTGGGCATGATGGGTAAGTACTCTATCCATGAGCAAAGCCCCTGCCTTTATACTACTAATGAGGGGCTCAACTGAGCTCCAAAGGGTTTCACTCTGGCTCCAGGTGGGCTTCTTTAGTAGCCTTCTGCTGATACACTGTGGAATAGTCCTCTGACCTGCTTTCCCTACATCCTTTGCTCTCACTGCATCCATGGAATTGGGTGCTAAACCTCAACATATCTCATTTCCCTCTGCTCCTTGCAGTTTTCCCATCCTCAGTACTGAGGTCCCATCTGTTCACCAAGCTCCATGACCCTGCTTCATGATTTAGTCACTATCAAAGCTCCTCTGTCAGGCCTCTTAGAATCCTGTTAGTTCTTCCCTAGTAGGACTTGTAATCATCTATTTTGCTCATTCCTTTGTCCTGGCCTTCCCTCCACAGGTATCACTAATACAGGGATGGCAGAGTTCCTTCCTCTTAAGCTCTGTTCAGAGTAGTCTTCCTGGTTACTTCCTTTCCCATCACAATTTAGTCACACTCATATACGAAGGCATTTTCCCTAGAATGCCTTAGTTGCTATACATCCTAAACTTCTGGAGGTCAAAGAAAATATGTATGAAATGTATTGCGCCATCAGAATCTTTAGAAGGGATTCGGGAAAAATGCCACCTAGCAAGGTAGAACATCGCCATTGGGTCCTATGATGCTGACAAGAGGGTTGGAAGGATCCTCAGGGCCTTCAGGCAAAATTCCAACCAACCATAATAGCATAAATGGCATTTAAATATTTCTTCAACATGTGGTAGTTAAATAACTCTAGCGATAGGAAAAGCCCAACCTTAGAAAATGAAGATTTCAGGGGCGTATGCAGCAGTTCAGCTAAACTGTTCATTTTCAATAAATATCTATAGGTATATCTCAGTGTCTGTGGATATCTACTATGTGTCAGATGCCGTAGACATAGGGCTATTAATATGAATAATATAGGTATGGCCTCTGATCCGTGGGTTTACAATTTAAAAGGAAGATGGGTGTGTAAACATACAAATAGAATCCGGGAAGTAGAGAGTGATGCTCAAACACAGGATAGGATGTGTAACCCAGGGCGGGGCATCAAGGAAGTCTTCACAAAACAAGGCCACGTCTACGCTGGGATTTGAAGGATGTTAAGTTAGGGGAAGACAAGATGGAGGGGTCCACGAGAGTGAGAGAAAACCGGTGCTTGAGGATTCCCATTTCCAAAGAAGTTTAGAATGATGCAAAAGGCGGAGCCCAATTCTAAAGGGACGTTCCAGCTGTGCTGAGGAATGTGGACCTAATTCCAGAGGCTGCAGGAAGCCTATGAAGGGAGTAATGTGATGCCTGTAGGGAGAGGCTGCGGGGGGCGGGGGGGGGGTTGGCAAAAATGAGGTGGCCCAAGGGATGTGATAAAAAAGAAAGCAAAAGCCTTTGCTAGAACCAGATTACGACAAAGTTCAGAGTACAGGGAGAGCTCCTGCACCCCTCTTCACTTTTGGTGGGTTTGCTCCACAGGAGCGGGGACGTCTCGTTGCCCCACTTCCCAGATAGGGAAACTGAGGCCTAGGGTCCCCAGGTGGGAACAGAGGAGAAAGAAAAACAAAAGAATCGAACCGGCTTCCCAAGAGGCAATCCGAGGTCATGCATGTTCCTTCCAGGGTCCCACGGCCTGTCCCGTTTCCCTACCACCCATCCCCAAGAAGCCGTCTTTGCTATGGAAACGGTCCTCCCGCCCTCCTCTGCGCACCCGTCTTTCCAATGCACTCTGGGAAATGCAGTCCATCTCTGTTTCCGACCCACGGCAAAAACCCAGTTCACGACCCTAAAAGACTACAAATTCCAGAAGACCGAGCAAATACTCCGGCTGTCTCTGGAGAGGGGGTCTTGGAAGAAGGGACGGAACCTCCCAATGGGCAGCCTTCTGGGCGGGGCCTGGATCGCCATTGGCTACGGCAGCGCGGGGGAGGCGGGGTCAGCGGAATGAGGCGCGGAGCTGTTCGCCGCTCCAGGTGCTGAGTCCGAGGGAGGCTCCGGATGCCGGAGCCGCGGTCGCCGCCGCCGCAAAGCCCGGGCCGCGAGGAGCTGGGAGGCGCCGCGTGCGCTGCCGGGCGCAGACCGCCCTCCTGAGCGCCGTCCGAGGTGGGTGCTGCGAGATTCTCTTCTGTGCTATTGAGGAGGCGATAAACTGAGGCGAGGGGGCCTGGGGAGTTGACGGGACGTGTCACACCATCTATCCCGGGAGCTTGCTGATTGAGCGCGGGGCCTCCCCGTAGCCCGGCACCTGAGGTCGGAGCAGCTTGGGCTAGGTTTTGTGGGAGGGTGGAAAGGGTTCTTGAGTGCAAGGGGCCGAGGGCTGCGAGACCCTGTCCCCATCTCTCCCGAGAGAGCATGGAAGGCTTGGCGCCTCCCTTCCCTTGTGCCTAAGTCTTGGGTTGTTGAGGGTGGAGGGAGTGTTCTGGGATGAGAGGTTTGTAGGTTCCCTACAACACCCCAGCTGCTCGAGGTTACTAAGGGGGTCTGGATGGGGTGGATGAAACGCCTCCCCTTTGCGTGGCCTCTCCAGGGTTTCCAGTTGTAAGAAAGACCCCCTCCTCCTTACGCCTAGGGGTCTGTGAAAAAGGAGGTGGAGGGCGTGATAAAACAGGGACACCTCCCACCACTACCACTTGCACCCCCTTGGGGTTTTGTGGGGTTATTTTTTAGGGATGGAGAAGGTGGGGGGGCGCTGGAAGACCCCCTCCCCCCTGCTCCAAGTCTCCCATAAAGGAAAGCACTGATGGATGCTCAGGTCCCCAGTGCTGGTGCCGCGCCTAAGGTCTGAGTAGCCTGGGTGTGGGAGGTGGGCTGGAGGAAGTAAGAGTCTGAAGGACCCCTCCCCACCTGGGTCCGTCTTTTCCCAGGCTCTCTCCACCTAGATCCAGGCCCCAGGCTATATAGGAGATCATCTTCCCTGCCCCACCACGCCCGGGGGACTAGAGCTCCTGCACCGCAGCGGGGAGCCAGATCTAGGTGGGCACGTGAGGGGCAGGACCGGGTGGGCCCCCCTCTCGAGCAACCCATAGCTCCAGGCAGATGTCCCCCGCGTCCGCGTCCTAGAGGGATGGTCCGCTCCGCGCCGAGCGCGCCCCAGATCTGGCCGCCGGGATCTGGTCCCCGCGCGCAGCCGCTGCTTTTGGGTACGCGGCTTTCGCGCTCTGCTCGAGCATCCGCGGGAGGACAAAGCGGCGGTCGCGGCACTGGCAGGCGTGCACCACTGGGCTGCGCGAGGGGCGCGGCTGAGGAAGGGGGGGCCTCGGGCGCGGCACGGGTAGCTTCCACGGTAACGTGCGCCAGGAGCCCAGTGAGAGACAAAGCGCGCTCGCTCCTCGCGGGCCCGCGCGAGCCGGGATGGAAAATCCCGAGGGAGGAGGTGGCTGTGTTGGGCAGGGTACTGTGCCACACACCTTTCTCTTCCCCCCCCAATCCCACTGTTGGCCCTACCTCCAGGATGCGGTGTGCACGATGGTTACCAGCGCCAGGACTTGTGACCACGAGGACAGGGATAAACAGGGGCTACACTTTGCGGGAGGGATAGGGGTAGAGGACTTGGGTGGGCCAGGGACTGGAGAGGCGTTCGGATTGAACCCATCCATCCCCACGCCCCATCAGCTATATTAGGTCAGATTTGACTCTGTAACTGATGGTAGTATGTGTGGGTCAGAGGTGAGTGCAAATGTGTGTGACTGGAAGAATGTGCCAGTGTGTGCTTGTGTGTGTGTGTGTGTGTGTGTGTGTGCGTGCGTGTGTGTGTGTGTGTG